GAGGTTTGGTTTGTAGTGGTTGTTTCCTGGTTTTTTTAAGGCTATTATTTGGGTAAAATGAGGGGTTGTGTTTGCTGAGAAAAGGGGGCAGGGATGGGGGCTATAATGGGTGGTTTTGGACTTATAGGTTTGGGTTATTTGTGAGGGAATATGGGCAGGAATGAGTGGCTAGTGGTGGGTCCGGGTTTTGGCTCTTTGTGGGTGTTGTGTTGGGATTGAGAGGGATATTTGGCCAGGGATTCAAAGGGAGGGAGAAAAGGTTTTTATTTGTTTATTAAAAGAAGGAAAATAACAACAAACAAAAGGTTTTGGTTTCTTATTATTAACCAGGGAATAAAATAGATGGCAAAGGCTTTATTTTGGGACAAAGAAAAGATAAAAGACTTTTGGATATGTTGGGAAGGGTTGGGATTTTGGTGGAGCCATCCAGGGGTATAACAGAAGCGCTGACAAACCCGAGAGCTCTGCGAAAAATTGTGACTTTTGCATTGCTTTAAAAGAACAAGTTGCTAAACTAGAAAACACGGTGAAGAAATTTAATGAACCACATAAGGATCTTAATCTCGTTTTTGATTCTATGCAATATACTAAAGAAGGAATAGGTTTTGGAAAGATTGATGAACCTGGAAATAAAGAAAGCATTGAGCAAACACCTAGACAACCACCTAAGGCTCAACGTAAGAAAGATAAAAATCAGAATAATAGAAAACCTAGTCAAATTAAGAACACTAGACAATCTAGACAACAATCTAGGAATGAAAATGCGCATGTTAGACAACCTAAGAAAAATTAACAAAATGAATCTGTGCATAAAAATAATTTTTCAAATAGACAAAATAATGCTAGGACACCTAGAAGAGAGAATTTTCAAAAACAAATGTTTTCTCGAAATAGGATGAATATGGTTAGACCCCCTAGCTATTACCAACCTAGGCATACGTTTAACCCAAATGTAGTATGCCATTATTGCAATAGGGTAGGACATATAGCTCCCGTGTGTTTTACCAGACATAGGCAGTTCACCTATAATGCAACACACAACACATTTGGTGCTAACGAAAAGAAATCCTTTGGAAAAGGATATTAATATCATGAACAATCTCCACAAAATAATGCACAAAAGAAACCTTACTATTTCTTCTACTTTGACGAAAAGAAGAAAGTCCACATTCCGTTACCGGAACCAACATAAATCACACCGAGATATCGGCACTCCATTCAGGTAGACTGGAACCCTCCAACAACGAGACGATGTGTTGGCCAAGGTAACTCCTGAACGATCATCTAATTGTGTGTGTGTGTGTGTGGGCGCATAAGGAAACAAATTTTGGGTGTGTGTGGGCAATAAAGGTTAACTAACCCCCAAGGACCCATAGACATACTTTGGGTACCAAAGTATTGCTTTTTTACAGGTACATATCAAAGTGAGGAACTTAGGGGGAACCAGCGATAGGTGGTTTATCCCATCTCTCGGAAGGAAGTATTTTCTAACCAGCAGCTCTCCTCCCATCGATGGGAACTTCTTCCCATCGCTGGGTGTTTGACACTTATTTTTTTAAAATTTTTTTAACGGATTTTTAGTAGGTGTCTTCCCATGGATGGGAGAACCTTATCATCGCTGGGAAGGCTGCCTTTACTTTTTTCTCCCTTTCCAGTAGCTGTCTTCCCATCGATGAGAGAACCTTACCATCGCTGGGAAGCCTGTTGCAGTTCTTGGGCACCTCATTCAATGCCCAACAGCCATATTTTTGAACACCAAGGGCCCAAATTCTCTTTTCATATAAACATTAACCATCCTTGGTTATTTTCAACACACAATTTACATTCCTTTTACATTCCACTCCCTTTCTAAACGCTTCAAAGGAAAGTCGAGGACAAAAACCGAGGCTTCAATGAAGAAGGCCAACACCGACGCCACGACCTCTTCTTTATTTTCTCCTTATTAAATATGATTGTATTTTTATCTGTTGTATTCCGCATTTCCCTTTTAATGAATAAAATTTTACTTTTAATTCTTTTTGTTAATGTCAAAAGGGGGAAGATATAAAGGTTATGCATAGATTGAGGGGGAACTTTTTCTAAAACTAACTCTTATTCAACACAAAAACTTTGTTGAAAATAAAAATGCATTTATTAAGGGGAACATTTTTTAAGTTTTAAATCAATCCTCCTATGCATAACCCCGTCTTGTTTGCCATTATCAAAAAGGGGGAAATTGTTGAAACACGGGTTTATCACGTTTTCGTACTAAAGTCGTGTTCGTTTTTATGACAGGTTTTGATAATGCCAAACTGCCGTGAACGAGACAAGTTGTTGAATATACAAGGCGAGAAATAAATATAAGAAGAAAGAAAGAGAACAAGAGCTAAAAGAGACCAAGAACGAAGACCGTAGTCTTTAGCGTCATTGAGTCGGTCACAATGTGATCAAGACCGACCCAAGCTTTGCACTTTGGCTCTTTAGACTAAAACATTTTTTTATTGCATTTTACATATCATCAAAATTATTTTCAAACATGCTAAAAACACTTGGTGTTCCCCAAACCAGAAACCAAGCCATCCGGGGTTCAGCTTTCGGAAACCGGCATTCGGTTTTCAGAAACCGGTGTTTGGCATTCGGTTATCGGCGCTGGTTTTTAACTTTTTATGATTGATTTTTACTTCTGGGCACATTTAAATAGTTTTTCATCAAAAACACTTCAAAACCACCTTTTGTTTTTTATCGTTTGATAAAAACCATGCGAAACGATATAAACTTGGCTAGCCGTGGTTTTTACTTAAATGAAGTGGTTTTCAAGTCTTTTTGTGTGGGAATTGTTTTTGAATGCATTTAAATGGTTCGCCAATCAAAACATCATGAAAACCACCTTTCGGTTTTGTCTTTTGGTAAAAACCACCCGTGTACGACGTTGACTTGGTCAACCGTGGTTTTTACCATAACGACGTGGTTTTCAACTTACAAAGCTTGTTTTGAAATCAAAATACATTAACTAAGTGTTTTAAATACTTAGTTTTTACATTGGAGAACTTCGCATTTTTCGGTCGGGTTTTAGGGCTAGTCAGCTAGGCCATGGTTCTAGACTAGCCATCTACCCAGCGATGGTAAATATCACCCAGCCAGGGGTAAGTGATCCCGGGATTTCAAAATCATGCCACCCAGCGATGGGAGATATTACCCGTCGATGGGTAAGCAGCCTTTAGCTCAGCTGGACTCCCGAAATATGCCAAACAACGATGGGAAGTTCTACCCATCGCTGTTCAAGCCTTGGTCCAGCATTAACACAAGGTAGAATGCCTTTACCCAGCGATGGGAAGTTCTACTCATCGCTGGTTACGCATGACCGTTGTAAGTTATTTAAGGTTGATTCTTTCCTTGTTTGAAAGTCAACCTCCCACCCAGCAATGGGAAGTGTTTACCCATCGATGGGTAGGCACATACATCGCTGGGAAAGCCAATCTCTTGCAGATCCATATTTTTATATCAATCTCATAAATCATGCCAATCACCCCTTTAATGCCTTGATCCGTTAGAGCCTATTTTGGCACTATAAAAAGGGGTGTTTGGGTCTGTATTACACAACGAATTCATTTCACATTACACATATCATTTTTGCATCCAAGCAATATTATTTTCCATAGCTTTCTAGAGCCAATTTGTGTGAAGTTTGAGTTGTTCTTGAGCTTATATATTTTACTCAATATCCACTCTTAAGGAGAGTCTTGTTCTTGAGTGTCTTAGTATTGTATACACGTTAAGAGAAGCTTATTTCCCTTGGTTGTACGAAGGAAAGGTATTTTTCCTTCGGGTTGAAATCTTGGAGTGCGGTATCTCCGAGAAAGTGTATTGAGGCTCGTGGGACTAGAGTTCTCAGGTTGTAACGGTTTGTTAAGCACCCGTAAGCTTAACGGAAGTAGTGTAGCTCGAGAGAGTCTCTCGGGAGACTGGATTAGCCACACGTTGTGATGAACCAGTATAAATCTTGGTGTGCTCCTTTTTATTCCGCTCTTTACTTTATCCCTGCGATTTTTATTCCGCGAAAATCTATAAACAATATTCTCGTGCCTCACTATTCACTTCCCCTCTAGTGAAAGACACTTATTCTAACAGTCCGTCATGTAGATCATGATAAACTTTGCCCAATTAATCGACGCCGAGTGCATGATGGCGTGGAGGAGCTTGAGATCCTCACCAGACATGATCGTGTGCCCGTGCTTCCGAGGCTTGATGATCCGGGACACGATGTAGAGAAGGAGGCGACTCTCGGGGGTCGCGGAGTGGATGTTGGGGCGGCCCGTGGGGTGGCAGATTAGTTCGGTGATGCCGAGCTCGTTGAGGACTAGGCTCTCATTGTTGAGGACCCAATCTTCTCCGCCATAGGTGGAGAAGTCGTCACCTTGGTAGGGGAGGCCGGTGATGCGCCCAAGGCATTTCGAAAAATCTTCTTAAAAATGCTGTGAAACATTTAAAAATACCCTACAAAAAAGATTTATTGCGCCTCCAATGCTCAAGTTAGTATGTCAATAAAAGAATGAATTAGTTCATAGAGATATCCAAAATGCCAAGTTGGTTCCGAATGTGGAAGAAACTCTCCCTACTAAGGGGTTTCGTGAAAATGTCCGCCAATTGATGTTTTGTTTCAACAAACTCAATTGTGACACCTCCCTTTTGGACGTGATCTCGTATGAAGTGATGCCTAATCTCTATGTGTTTAGTCCACGAATGAAGAACAAGGTTCTTCGTTAGACTAATGACACTCATATTGTCACATCTAATTGGGATGTGATCAAGTATAAGGCCGAAATCCACTAGTTGCTATTTTAACCAAAGAATTTGGGCACAACAACTTCACACAGCGACATATTCCACTTTGGTGGTGGAAAGTGCAACACTAACCAGCTTCTTGCTAAACCACGAGATTAACGAATGACCGAATGGCAAGTACCGTTGGTACTCTTCCTATCGAGTTTGCAACCTGCAAAATCCGAGTTGGAATAGCCAACAAATGACATGTCGAACCTTTGATATACCAAAGACCTACGTTCAACATGCCTGCAAGGTATCAGATTATCCATTTGATTGCAGCCAAGTGCGACTCTTTAGGGAAAGATTGATACCTAGCACACATACATACGGAGTACATGATATCCGGTTACTCGAGGTAAGGTAAAGTAAAGAGCCGATCACACCTCGGTAGCGCTTGATCTCTATCTCTTTACCTTTGTCGTCCTTGATGAGATAGCAAGAGGTGCTCATTGGTGTGTCAATGGATTTGGATTCGGTATCGTCGAATCTCTTAACCAATTCCCTGCAATATTTCATTTGAGACACGAATGTTCCTTCTTTGCATTGTTTAATTTGCAGCACAAGGAAGAATTTCAATTCTCCCATCATCGACATCTCAAATTCACTTTGTATCATATCGGAAGAATCCCTGTATAAAGCCTCGTTAGTAGCACCAAATATGATATCATCTATGTAAACTTGAACCAAAATGATGTCTTGGTTATCATTCTTGATGAAAAGAGTAGTGTCAACTTGATCCCGTTTGAACTCATGGTCCAAAAGAAATTTGCTTAACCGTTCATACCAAGCAAGAGGTGCTTGTTTGAGACCGTAAAGCGCCTTTTTGAGTTTGAAGACATATTTGGGAAACTCATAGTCTTCGAAACTTGGGAGTTGTTCGACATACACTTCCTCTTGAATGAAACCATTAAGGAAGGCACTTTTTGTTAGAAAAACGTCCCAACGCTAGAGGGGGGGTGAATAGCGTTTGAAACGTAAATGACGCAAGAATAAAAAATCAAAAGCGTAAAGTAAAGAGCAAGGAAGAGGCACACCATTTTTACCCTGGTTTACCACAACGTGTGGCTAGTCCAGCATCCTGAGAGACTCTCTCGAGCTACACTATCAACGTTAAGCTTAACGGTGCTTAACAAACTCGTACAACTTGAGAGTTCGAGTCACACGAACCTCAACAACCCTTCGAAGGAAACAACCCTTCCTTCGAACTACTCAAGAGAAAAACTTTCTCTTATCAAGTGTCTAAAAACACTAAATCACTCAAGAACAATACTCTCTTTTAGAGTGGATAATGAGTAACTAAAAACACTCAAGAACACAACACGAACTTCATAAAAATGGGTCTCGAAAAGCTATGAATAATGTCTGAATGTAATGCAATGAAAAATAAGAGTTGTGAAGTAATGTGATGTGTAAAGCAGACCCAAACACCCCATTTTATAATAGAAAAACAGGCTCCAACGGGTAGGAGTTGAATGGGGGTGATTGGCACAATTTGTGGGATTTGATTGAAATTGGATATGCCCAGAAGTAAAAACCAATCATAAAATTTTGAAAACCACTTGGTTGGTTTGGATGCCAAAATACAACGCCGATAACCGAATGCCAAACGCCGGTTTCTGAAAACTGAATGCCGGTTTGTGAAAGCCGAACGCCGGATGGCTTGGTTTTTAGTTTGGGCGAACACCAAGTGTTTTAGGCTTGTCTAAAACTTATGAAAAACATTTTTGAATATGCAAAAGAATATTTTTATGAGATGAGCCTAGAGAGCCAAGTTTTAGAAGTTTGTGCCGATCTTGATCACATTTAGACCGACTCAATTTATTTCTAAGTCTTCGTTCTTGGTTCTCGGTTCTTAATTCATCATGCCATGTTCCTTCGCCCTTGATTTGCTCAGTTTAATATTGTTATCATGGCGGTTTGGCATTATCAAAACCTGTCATAAAACGAACACGGTTTAGTACAACGTAGGCGTAAACCCGTGTTCCAACAATTTCCCCCTTTTTGATAATGGCAAACAAGACGGAGATATGCATACTAAGGGATATTTTATTTTCAAAAGGTGTGAAAAGGTTCCCCCTTAATTTGTGTTTAAGAGAAAATAGTCATTTTGAAATCAAATGATCCCGTTTTTAGAGACGTTCCCCCTAGTATATGCATAGCCCTTTTCTTCCCCCTTATCTAGGGGCGGCCTAGTCTTCATCTTCAGTTTCCTCCTCGTCGTCATCGACGTCCATCTCATCAACATCAATGGCATCGTCGAACTCATCCTCGTCCGGGGAGCTTCACGGGGCGTACGAGCTATCGTCTTCGCCTTCTTCACCATACACTTGCGCTGTAACACCCCAAAACATACCCTAGAATTATTAATGAATAAATAATCAATTAATCACAATTGTTTTGATTAAAATAAATTATTGTTGGGCTTTGGGCCGATATGAAATTTGTTTTGACATCTAATATCAAAATTTGGATAAGTCTAATCGAGATAAATCCAATATGTGGACTATTTGTGTGGTCTTGATTGGGAACCTGAGTACAGACCCAAATCAAGAATAAATAAATTAATTAATTATGATGTGAACTTTGTAATGATTTATTGATATAAATCATGAGAATAATTGATATGAATTAAATGAGAGAACCTTTTATGAGAAAGGTCAATTAAACCAATTTTGACTCTATTAAGGTCAAACACCCAAAAATATGATGTCGGAAAAAGTATTACAAATAAATATAAAAATTATATCGTTAGATAGAGTTTAACTGCCCAATCGTAACGGTGCAAACGGAATTCAATTCGGAGAAAGTTGGACCAAAAAGTGTACCCCGACTGGAACAAAAATTGGTCCCAATCAGGGACACTGTGCGAACGGCGCCTCCGAGCGCACTAAGCCGATTGTGAATCTTCCTACGCTCAGCAACCAGTGTCTTCTTCTTCCTCAAATATACTATATAAAGGGAGCTAAGCATTCTCAATTCTTTACCAAAACCTATACTTCCTTGTTCTATTCTGTTGTTCAAAGTAAGGAGAACGCAGTGGTGCTGTCAATTTGGTGAGAGGTCGCCGGAGCAAGACGTGGTGTTCGCCGGAAGTTTCGATGAAAAATATTCAAAACCTTCATTTACCTTCGAGGTAAGCCCGTAGATATATCTAATGACTAGAATGTTCGTATAGATCGTTTCTACGTTCATAAACGGTCGTTTGGTTGAGTTTTGTGTTTGACATGCTTAAAGAACCAAGAATCATAAACCATTAAATTGATGTTAAAACTATGAATTAATGATGCCAAAATGATCTATGAACCTTGGAGAAGATCTCTATATAGTTTTCTTGAAGTTCGGTAACTAAAAACGGTATTCTTGAAATTGGACCCGAACGAAGAAGATGATGGACAGTAACCAAAAACCAGGCTGTTTGGATCGATCCAAATGGATGGATCTATCACCTGGGCATAATCTCTCTACATATGGATCGATCCAAAGGGCTGGATCGATCCCCCGAAGTTCTGATCCGAAAATTTGTCCGAAATTGATATTTTTGAGCTCTAAAATCCTATTTTTGATACCAATGGATTATGACCATTATAAAAATGATTTACCATAATAAAAACGGTGTTTTTAACAACTAAAAATGTTATGTGTTGCATGACGGTAAGTTCGGGTGTTAACACTCGAAGCTAGGCCGCTATTTATTATCAATTGTTGTGTTAATTGATGATTATGATAAATGAATATTATGGATGATTATGAGTATTGAACCTACTAATTAAAATAAGTATTTATGATTGAATCATGAATAAAATGAATACATTTATAATTATGAAATGATTTGTAGTGTTAAGGGTATCTAGAAGAACTCTAAGGTATACACATTTAAAAAAATTGATGTTAAGGCTATCTAGAAGACCTCTAGAATAGATCTCATATTAGTGTGGATTTGTGAAACATGAATATTCGATGAGTTAGATAAAAATGTATAAACAGGATTCGTAGACTAAGCTAGTCACTCGTTTGGAAATACTTCGACTCAATGATGATTAGATATTGTCTTATTGTTGCCTTAAACTAATTATAGTTTAAGCGTCTGAGTATTGATTGCCTTAAACTAATTAAAGTTTAAGCGTCGGAGAACTGTTGCCTTAAACTAATTATAGTTTAAGCGTCTGTGAAATGTTTGCCTTAAACTAATTATAGTTTAAGCGTCTGAGAATGAAATTATGATCTGGCCTTAGACTAAGAATAGTTAAGAGCGTTGTTATGATCTGGCCTTAGACTAAGAATAATTTAAGAGCACTATTGAAATAGTATCTGAATTGAATAAAATGTGTTGGTATGAACTCAACAATACCAAAACTGTGAATGTCTTAAATGAACATTGTGTGCATGATATCAAATGATTTGATTATGAATTTAGATTCAGTTTATATGGATGTTCGACGCATTAGATATGCTTACTCAGCTTTACCGCTGAGCGTGTAGTGTGTTTTATTTGCTACACGCAGGTACAACAGAAAGAACACTGTGATCCTGGCAGCAGATGGGGCGAGATTGTCGGGATGGATGTGACAAGTTTGAAATGATTTATGATATGTCAAAATTAAATTCGCTTCCGCAATATTGTTGAATACTCCGTACTGTATATGTTATGAAAAATTATTGGGATTAATAAAGTGTGTTTGAAAAGTTTTAAATTTTTACGATTACCAAGTTAATACTTTAGTCCGGAAGGGGCTGCAGACCTGGACGGATTAGGGTGTTACATGCGCAAGGAACATGCCTTGGTACGGTGGGGGGGACGTAGTTGACGCGTTGGAAGTACGCATTCATGGCATACCCTTGGCTTTGAACAGCCTCGTCGAGCCATTCAAGGTACCCGTCCACCCCATCGACTTTGAAGTTCAGCCGGTTGAGGGAGTCGGTGATGGAGGCAAGGTTGGCCCGGGCCTGGGGTTCGGCTAGGCCATCGGCAGTGCGGCATGGTGCGGCAGTGGCAGGTGCGGCGTTGTCCGACCGCTTCGTGAAGGTTTGGGCACTGATCGTCCAAAGCTTCGTGGCCTTGGTGAGCGGGCCAATGGTGGTGGTAACCTTGAACCGTTCAAGGATGTCCATCACCAAGAATGGGTACTTGGGGAGGTGATCGTGGGCGGTAGACGAGGCGTCCGTGTTGAAACACGAGTTTATCACATTTTCGTACTAAAGCCGTGTTCATTTTTATGACAGGTTTTGATAATGCGAAACTGCCGTGAACGAGACAAGTTGTTGAATATACAAGGCGAGAAATAAATATAAGAAGAAAGAAAGAGAACAAGAGCTAAAAGAGACCAAGAACGAAGACCGTAGTCTTTAGCGTCATTGAGTCGGTCACAATGTGATCAAGACCGACCCAAGCTTTGCACTTTGGCTCTTTAGGCTAAAACATTTTTATTGCATTTTACATATCATCAAAATTATTTTCAAACATGATAAAAACACTTGGTGTTCGCCCAAATAAAAAACCAAGCCATCCGGGGTTCAGCTTTCGAAAACCGGCATTCGGCATTCGGTTATTGGCATTGGTTTTTTGCGTCCGAACCAACCAAGTGGTTTTCAACTTTTTATGATTGGTTTTTACTTCTGGGCACATATAAATAGTTTTTCATCAAAAACACTTCAAAACCACCTTTCGTTTTTTATCGTTTGATAAAAACCATGCGAAACGGCATAAACTTGGCTAGCCGTGGTTTTTACTTAAATGAAGTGGTTTTCGAGTCGTTTTGTGTGGGAATTGTTTTTGAATGCATTTAAATGGTTCTCCAATCAGAATATCATGAAAACCCTCTTTCGGTTTTGTCTTTTGGTAAAAACCACCCGTGTACAACGTTGACTTGGTCAACCGTGGTTTTTACCGTAACGACGTGGTTTTCAACTTACAAAGCATGTTTTGAAATCTCAATACATTAACTAAGTGTTTTAAATACTTAGTTTTTACTTTGGAGAACTTTGCATTTTTCGGTCGGGTTTCAGCGCTAGTCAGCTAGGCCATGGTTCTAGACTAGCCATGTACCCAGCGATGCTGAATATCACCCAGCCATGGGAGATATTACCCATCGATAGGTAAGCAGCCTTTAACTCAGCTGGACTCCAGTACCATGCCAAACAGCGATGCGAAGTTCTACCCATCGCTGTTCAAGCCTTGGTCCAACATTAACACAAGGCATAATGCCTTTACCCAACGATGGGAACTTCTACCCATCGATGGGAACCTAGCGCTGGGAGGGAATACCCATCGCTGGTTAGGCATGACCGTTGTAAGTCATTTAAGGTTGATTCTTTCCTTGTTTGAAAGTAAACCTCCCACCATGCGATGGGAAGTGTTTACCCATCGATGGGTAGGTGACCGTTGCCTTCAAAACTGAAGGAAAATTGCCTTACCAGCGATGGGTAGGCTCATACATCGCTAGGAAAGCTAATCTCCTGCAGATCCATATTTTTATATGAATCTCATAAATCATGCTAATCACCCCTTTAATGCCTTGATCCATTGGAGACTATTTTGGCACTATAAAAAGGGGTGTTTGGGTCGGCATTACACAACGAATTCACTTCACATTACACATATAATAATTGCATTAAAACAATATTATTTTCCATAGCTTTCTAGATCCAATTTGTGTGAAGTTTGAGTTGTTCTTGAGCGTATGTATTTTACTCAATATCCACTCTTAAGGAGAGTCTTGTTCTTGAGTGTCTTAGTATTGTATACACGTTAAGAGAAGCTTATTTCCCTTGGTTGTACGAAGGAAAGGTATTTTTCCTTCGGGTTGAAGTCTTGGAGTGCGGTATCTCCGAGCTGTTGGAACACGGGTTTACGCCTATGTCGCACTAAACCGTGTTCACGTTATGACAGGTTTTGATAATGCAAAACCGCCGTTGACAACAACAAGATTAAACTGAGCATAACCAAGGCGAAGGAACATGGCATGATCAACTGAGAACCAAGAACCAAGAATCAAGAACAAAGACTTAGCATTGTATTGAGTCGGTCTTAATGTGATCAAGACCGGCACAAACTTTCAAAACTTGGCTCTCTAGGCTCATATCATCAAAATATTTTTTGCATAATCAAAAATGTTCTTCTTAAGTTTTAAACTTGCCTAAAACACTTGGAGTTCGCCCAAACCAAAAACCGAGCCATCCGGCGTTCGGCTTTCAGAAACTGGCGTTCGGCTTTCGGTTTTCGGCATTGGTTTTTGGCATCCGAACCAACCAAGTGGTTTTCAACTTTTTATGATTGGTTTTTACTTCTGGGCATATTTAAACAGTTCTCCAACAAAAATGCTTCAAAAACCACCATCCCTTTTTGGTCGTTTAGTGAAAACCGTGCGAAATGACACAAACTTGGTTAGCCGTGGTTTTCAACTAAATGTGTAACGCCACAAAATATGACCTAAAATTTATTATAAAACAAAAGTAATTTTTGTCCAATAAGAAATATCTGTATGTTTGACCAAAAATAAAGAGATTTTCAAAATAATGACTTTTTGTTAAAAACTTATTTTTATGGATAGGTCTCGAAGAAAAGAATTCAACGGTACATTTTATGAATCAATCTGATTTATAAATTTGAAGTTATGACAATTTTAAATATTAAAATTTGTAACTTTGACCCATAAAATAAACTCAATTCAAAGGTAATTTCATCAAATTAGAAATCATAATTTTGACACTTGACAACATCATATTTATCATTGGGATTTAATTCATATATTTTTATCTCATTCATATTATTAAATTAATTTATGACTAAGACACACCTGAACACTGAGAAAAAAAGAAGTTCTCAGAAAAATATTTCGTTTACATCAAAATTCTAGTTTTGACAGTCTGATTCCAAAAACGCAATCCGTTTTAAATTTGGAGTAGGTTGGGTGAAAAAGCGCGTACCGTTTGGGATAAACTAGTCAGTTTGGACTATAAGCCAAACCCTTACTATACAAATTATACTCAATCACGTATGGAGCCTTGTGATATCTCTTAAAATCTCTATTAGTCCACAAAGAGATTCCTACTATTACTAAGATCTAAATCCTAACCTATAACCCAACATGACTATAATAATTACACCATCATCACCATCATCTCATCTCTCCCCTCTCCATTCTCTCTCTGTCGGCCAAACATAAAGCAAGGGAAAAGAAAGTTTCATATCCATGATTGTGTGTTAGGGAAGGAGAAGAAGAAGAAAGAAAACCATCCAAAGCTTCCAAATTTTGAGTCCAAAAACGCAGCAGCAACTTCAAGGTAAACACTGAAATTTTCTATTCATTATCTCGAAATACTTCTTGAACCAAAGTTGTAGCCCCGGACGATACGAATCCAACCCAACAAACGGCTCGTGATTTCGTTAAGTAACGAAGAAGATATGGCCAAAATACCGGGACTGCATCAGTGGTGGCGAGCTCCTCTGGTTGGCATGTTTTTCTTCACCAAAATTCACATTATTTCATCCCAAATACTTACCATAAACTCTCTAACAATTATTAGGAACATCCGGAAGGTATTGCAAAGAAAGTTTGGCGTTGGAATGTTGAAGTTAGTGAGTTAATTGTCAGAATCATGTTCTTCGACATACCCAAAATTCTGGACAGCAACTTTCTATTGACTTCAGGTCTGATTTACGCTATCTTACATATGTTAAAACGAAATACTTTCTATACAAAAGTTGTATCCTTACATCTTAGGAATCCACAGAATCAAACGGTTTGCAATTTCGTGAAGAAACGATGGAGATATGCCCAAATTACCGCAGGTTGTCCAGTTGTGACAGAAATGACAAAGTTGGCAAATTTCGATGTTGTTTCCACTCCCGCTCATCCGTAAGGTTTCGGCCGATGATTTCCAGGTCTCTACCCTTGCGTTAGACTTGTCGAATCATTCATCACATACATACATGAACATATATGTTATTCCATATGTTAAAACCATTCCAAAATATATATGTGATGCATATATAAGTTATCTATATGTTGAGATTAAAATACACCAAATACATAAAGTTAATATACACATAAGTAAATATAAACTTTGGAAATCAACCCAACAATATGTATATGTTAATCAAAGGTGCTTAAAAGACTTAAAGAAGTATTTTGGACACTCAAAATATCAAGAGAAAGATTCGCAGACCCAAACGGTCGACGTAAACGGTCGACCGTCGCATTAAACATCGAAATGGACCCCGACTGTCAGACAAACGGTCGACCGCCGCCTGCCCAGCCGAGAATCGCCGTCGCCATCCAGTCAACAACGGTCGACCGCCGGTCAACCACGGTCGACCGTCACGGTATTCCGCCAGCCCGACGTAATGAAGGTCGAGGTCGACCGTCGCGCCAAACGGTCGACCGTTCCAAGCCCCGTAGCTTAATTAAATGATATTTTTATCAGATTTCACCCAAATAAAATAAAGTATATTTATCCATTCATATTGTTTACAAATTGTTCATATCATATGACTCATATCATCACACATATTGTAGCATATCATATCATATGCATGCGTAAGAGATCATGCGTAATTGCGTCTCTTATAGCGTGATGTGCGGGACTTAGCAGTCCGACATCACCCGTTCCGGGCTTAGTGTACGTACATGGTATTCAGGTTTCGAGTACCACCCC